ACAGACAGAGCGACACACACACACACACACACGTAGCATGCTGCAGGCACGGGAGGGCAAACTCACAGACAGACGAAGCCGAGGTCGATGCGAGCTTATTACTCGTGCTGCAAGTTAAACTTACGGTTCCATCCTTCAGATTCCGATGCTGGTTACGCAAAGACTGATTCAAGGCCACCTGCATCGTAGGCTGAAGAACAGTTTCTGAGCAGCGCACTTCAGCAAAGCTCGTTTGCCCGCAATGATAACCTCGGCATGAGGGGAAATTGCAGATCGGATGATGACAACAAAGCAGCAATGCAAGGCAAGCTCCTCCCCTGTAAGCTGTCTTGACATGTGCTAAACTTGCTAAACTGTACTGTGATACACGATACTACTATACTAAACTAACTTGTCTACCTGCCTAAACGGACGTGCCAACCTCAACCCTTATTTTACATGGTCAATTCCCTTGCATAGCAGACTCTTCGACTACCTCATGCATAAGCCATCTTGTCGAACCTGAGAAGCCCCAAAACACATCCCACAAGGCCCTTGACCCCTAAAACCCTCAACCCTAAAACCCTTAAACCCCTAGAGCCCTAATTCCGAGATTTCGTGCCACGACTCCCCCCTACTGGGCACAGAGCATCCTCGATCTCCTGATCGAAGGCCTGCTCCTCCAGTGTCATCTGCCTGCACTTCACTTCTATTTCCGAGGGGTTTAGGGTTTAGGGCTTAGAGGGTTTAGGGTTTAGGGGCGAAGGAAGTTCGACAAGAATCACAGACTCTCTGCGTCAACCTCCGGAGCTTTTGCAACGCGTCGGTGGTCTCTTCAACCTTCCGTGGCTTCTTGAGGGCGAGGGTGCGTTTTTGGGGGGAGAGGGTACAGAAGCGTAGAAGAAGGTAGCAGCCAGCATAAACTGGCAAGAAGTTCGTACTACGTGTCAGAAATACCAGCCCAGACCTTCCAAAACCCCTTATTTAAGGAATATACCTTAAACTATAGTAGGATCCTTAGCCTTAGTATGATTTAAGGTATATTCCTTAATTAAGGGATTTTGGAAGGTCTGGGAGCTCTGGAGTGACAAACGTCCGCCTGGAGCTTGTCCACCAAGGAGGCCGTCTCTGGATCGTTCCACCAGGCACTGTCACAGGGGTTTCGGAGTTGACGTTTGAGGGGCTGCTGGATTCGAAAGGATATATAGATAGATAGATAGATAGATAGATAGTTACTATAGTTACTTATTTATCTATTTGTTTCATCTGTTTGTTTATATGTATGCATGTATATACCTATACACACATATACATATATGTGTACCTGTTTATTTATATGTGTATACGTATACGTTGGCGAAATCAACATAGATTGCAGACGGCGGCCATTCTAGATTTTTGGCAAAATCAGCTTCCCCGCATGACTTCACATCATAGTAGGGACAGCACCTACCATTGCTGGATTTTCATACCATAGGCTAGGCGGGGCTAAGTTAATAACTAGAGAGTAACTAAGTAAAGTGAATAAACCGTTCTAATTTCCGATTACCCCAATCAAGATACTGAACCTTTACAAAGTCCTCTGATCCTCCAAGTGCTCCTGGCTTCGTCAGTATGCGGCGGCCTGTCCAAACCATCACTGCTCCCATCCTGTCCAACTCGGAGTCGGAAAGGGAAAGAAGCCAATGGTTTGGAGTTTACGGTTCAGGGTTTGGGGCGTTTAGGGTTTTGGGTTGTTGGTTGAGGGTTTGGGGGTTTAGGGAGCCCGAATCGGACGAAGAAGCGCTGGATTCGACTCTAGTACAAGCAAGCCGTATAGTTTCCCAAGCTCATGAGAAGAGTTGCCAGCAGGCAAGCAGACAGAGAGCCTCCAAATTGCTGAGTGGCCCGGCATCGTCTCCCTCCGCTCTCCGCAGCCTCATACAGCTATGCGAGACATCAACGCGGTTTAGGGTTTAGGATGTTCAGGGTGTAGAGCATCGACTTTAGGCTTTAGGTTCGGGTCCCGAATTGAATATGGTGCCTACCCCTAAACCCTAAACCCCACATCGTTAACCCTAGGGCTGGTGTAGGGTTTAGCAAGTCCTCCTCCAGTTTGCCGCAAGTGCTCAGAGATTCAGGAAGCGTTGTGTCCTGTGGGGTGACATGGGGAGTGGCTGCGTATAGTATACAATAAATACTATAAGTATACTGTGGAACCCACAGGAACGAGAGTGTTTGAATCTGCTCTGAAAGCCTGAGCAGTCGGAGAATGAATTCTTCCGGCTTCTACTAGTAGTTACAAAAAGACAGGCCCGCGGCAGTCTGTCTGACCGCGACCTTCTGGCCTCTGACGATGCCCACCTGGGTCATTTCCCAATCGAGCTCAAATAATCTCACAGAGGTTGTCAAACTAGAGCTTCGGGATGTACTGTCTTATAGTTCTATAAGGAAAACCAAGGGATAATTACTAAGCATTCAAGCAGTACTACAAACAGTCGGTCGCAGAGACCCAGCATCTTCGCCGGTACCGAGTGAGTGAGACGCGCATTAACCGTCGCCCACAGACACAGCAACTAGGGTTTAGGGTTTAGAGTTTAGGGTCTGCATCGTACGAGGCTCTGGCAACCTCGTCGGCCCCTGCAGGAAGCAGAGCGGTGAAACCTGGGCAGGTAGTTGACGATCGCTTCCCACAACGTTGCCTGTGCCTTCTTTTTCGCTGCTTCAGGTGCTGTAGCATGCAGGCTTGCAGGAGACTTCGACTGCCGCGCTCCACTCACATTCGATGTGGCAGGGCCCACGCGGATACACTCGCCACAATGGCCTAGGCCGCCACGGCAAACGAGCATTCTGACAAGACTGTGCTCGCAGAAAAGGTAGGGCTAAGGTGCTGAACTGGGACACTCCTCCGACTGCTTGAGGTTTCATCCAAGTTGCTGCCAGGACTGGCCGGTGCCGCAGCGCCATGCCGCCTGCTTCCCAGTCTCACTCTGCCGCGTGACACGGGACTAACCATAGACTATAATATTATACTAGAATTATCATAAAGAACCCCCAAAATAGTACGTATAGGTAATGATTAAGGCTCCTATAGTATCCTAATATCATGCCACCCGCTGTGACCAGAAGGAGGTTTTGGGTCGTTGAGGGGTTCATGAGCAAACGATGGCAGGTGACTTTAATTAATTTAACACTGCTCTAATTAGTCGCCTCCGTCCCAGTCAAGCATCATGCAAACCACACCCGAAATGGCGATCTGGATGCACAGCGCCTCCCGGCATCCCGGCAGATTGCACAATCCCGAGCTGCTTTTGCTCTGACTTCTCCGAACCTCAAACCCTGACCGGTTGGGCCCACAAAGCCTGGATTGCCGTGTAGGACGTCGCGTGGCCAAGAACCCAGCGGCACGGTTGGGAGGTGATGTGATGCAGGTGTACCGATTGATAGCACTGTTTCCGAATTGGGAGGGCTTGTCCAAAGTCTTTATACATCGATTTCGTTACAACCCAGGCTCCTAAAAGTTCCAACCCACAAGTGTCTCAGATCTCAAAACATGGACCATGATCAGCAAACAGCATCCAAGACAAGGCTATTCCCTCTACCTCTGCCTGCATGCAGCCAAGACGACGGCGAGGACACGTTGTCACTTCTTGAATCCCGTAAAGCGTGTCTGAAGAATACATGGCTGATCGTCAGTCTGCCTGCATGGACCCTCAAGCAAAGCTTGCTTTCTTACACCCGTACCGAGTCTCAAGTCAAAGGAAGAACTGCTTCTGTCCGATGCAAAACATGAAGCCAGTAGAAATTCAGAATTCTAGTCTAGCAAGATGCTACCGGCTGCAATACTTTCATTAGGGCAATAAGAACAACATGACAACATGACAATGGTCAGCTCAGAAACTGATGGTAACAGCCGTGGTCACAAATATTGATCATAGCCATAACACCGACAGTGATAATCACCAATAACACGACTCATAGTGCCAGATCGTTTGTGGCACCTACATACATCCACGAGAGAATGAGGGAGCAATGCATACATACATACAGTGGTGTTGTAAGTATGCAATGCTAAAACACCTCCTGCACCTTTTTTGCTCCAAACGATCTTTCGCGCTTTTCAAGTACGAGAGCACGAGCATTCCGTGCACGAGCATTGGCCTGCAGAGTCCGACTCGCTTCAGAAGTGTTTGGCGTTTAGGGTTAAGGGCTTTGCTCAAAAACACTGAGCTTCAAATCACCACCAGCAGAGACCGAGACATTCTTGCATGCCAGACACCTCAATCAAGTCCCAAGTAGCCTCATCGGCTGAGTCACACCCTGAACCCTAAACCCTCAACCCCAAACCCAAACCGACACCCCAAATAAACCCTAAACCCCATAATTACACTTATAACCCCAAAATCCCAAAGCCGGAGCCGGTGGGGCCTGCACCTCGGCGGGTTCTGGCTTCAGCGGGCGCAGGGCCTCAGGGCCGTGGCGACCAAAATCCCCGGCGCCTCGTGGCTACCCAGAGACTCCAATAGCCCTTTAAAAAAGGGATCTATAAGGGTTCCTATAATGGGTACTATAGGGGTGTACTAGAGGGGCCTAAACAATTCCCAATATTACTTGGGTTCCTTATAAGGGTTCCTATAAGGAAATTATATAGGGTTTAGGGTTTGGAAGAGGCCTGAAAATATATTAGGGATCTTTCTATATTTTAAAGTATACAGCATATTCCTTAATTACGGGATACTATTGGCGTCTCTGGTTAGAAGCCACATGACATCAAAGAGATGCCGTGCGACAATACTGAAATAATGAGAAGAGGGACAATCATCATCATCATCATCATCATCATATTTAACCAACCAGCCAACCAATCAATCAGTCGATCAGTCGATCAGTCGATCAGTCGATCCGTCGCTCGATCAATCGATCCCCCCATCAATCAGAGATAAGACGTAAATAATACTACGAGAAAGAAAAACGGCAAGAATAAGAGCAAGAGGAAGCCTACGACCAGGACGTTTGAGAATGAGAGGAGTTAAGATAACGACAAAAATCAGGACAGTAATCCGGATAAGGATGAGGATTGCAGGTGCTCAATCCCCTATATAAGCCGGGCCAAGGGGGCTCACAATGCTTAAACCCGAAGTCCTTAAAGCCTAAACCCGCAATTAAACTCTGAACCCTTAACCCCAAGCCGCAAACCCTTGGACCCCTTCTTCCTACCCTTAATTGAACCCTAACCCTTATAAAACACACTTAGTTAAAACCTAAACCCTTGATAAAACTCTGAAGACTTAAATCCTATACCCGTAAACCCTAAACCCTTAAACCCCAAACCCGTAAACCCTTCAAACCTTAAACCCTAAACCCCTTAAAACTGAGGGCCAGGCTTCCGTGACACACCAGGGCTGGTCCTTGCGCCGGGATCCGAAACCATCGTTGGGCCTTATAGGTCAAAGGGCTCAGGTCTTGGGGCTTAGGGCTTCGGGCTTAGGGCGTAGGGTTTAGGTCTTAGGGCGTAGGGCGCAAGGTCTTAGGGCTTAAAGGGTTATTGAATCAGGGTTTAGGGCTATGGGTTGAGGGTCGTAGAGCCGTATAGGGCGTAGGGCTGAGGGTTAGTTATTGATTTAGGGCTTAGGGCCATTGGTTTAGGATTAGGGCTCTTGGTTTATAGGTTCATCCTAAACCCTACACTGCTTTAGGGTTTGGGGCGCTCGGGGTTTGGTAGAAAACCTCATGGAGCCCTCTTTGGGTAGGCTCGGGCCCTTCCCGTCCTCGCAGCTTCGCTGGAGAAGTGGATACAAGGAGAGGAGGCGCTCCTGGCTTGGCAAGGGCTCAGAGCGTAGAGGGCTCAGGGCTTAGGGTTTTGGAGTTTAAGTCTAGGTCTAGGGTTTAGGTTTATTTATTGGTTTAGGGTTTAGGGCTAGGGGCACATATGCATGTTCGGGTGAATCCCTCCATGGGTTTATGCAGGGGCAGATCTTGCTGTTCAGCTCTTTGTTGGAGCAATGATCGTCACAGCCGTACCAAACTTACCGTTTGTCAGTAGGGAATGGAAGAATGGTAGTAACAGCAGTAGTTATTATAATAGTACCCCATTCCTCCATTCCCTATACTAACCAAAGGTAAGCCAAAGCATGTTCGAGTCAAGGGCGGCCCCTCCTCTCCCTCCTCAGTGGTCTGTCGTCCCAACCCCCGACTTCCTCACCGTCGCCCCGTGTTCAAACCGTGGTGGTCTCTACAAGCAACGGGCAAGCGAGAAGCAATCCCAGGCCCCCATTCAAATTCAACTGCAAGGTCTTGGACTCAACATGCCCTTTATCAACAGAGGGCGGCCCCGCCCCCTGCCAGAGCCCCGCATGCCCAGAGTCCCAAAGCTGCTGGGCCCAGCCTCTGGCCAGGCCGCTGCAATCTCAGGACTCGGCTCCTGTCGACGAAATTGGAACTTGTTTAAAGTTTCAAGTCTCTCGGGCAATGCAGAGAGGCTCTCGGCCCGAAGCATGCTCTGGGCATCTCTAGGATGAGTTTTTCTGGAGGGCCCGTGGGCCTCATGCTGGCGAAGCCATTGGCGCACCGTTGAGACCTCCGAGCTTTCGAAACGAAGGGGGTTCCCGGCGCTTGGGACTAACGTCTTCGTCCAAAAACCTGCTTGATAGTCGGCCGCCACAGCTTGAAACCCTAAACCCTGAACCCCTAAACCCTGAACCCTAAAGAGTTCTGGCAGCTGCCTCTTTCGCCTTGAAGCAGATGATGACGGCCTCCATATGCTCGCTCACACATGCCACTGCGCTGATCTAGCCAGTGCTACTTTTCGCAAATCGCTTTTGGCAAGTGTGCATGCACAACTGCGTGACAAACTCGTCCAGGCCTCAGGCTCACCTCAAGACTATATTTAAAATAATATACTATAGTATGTATACATATAGTATAATTTCATAATATACAGTAATTATACTGTATATCGTTTATTATTCTATATAGATTATATAGTATATTTTACATAATATAGAATGTATATGGGCCTCGAAGCTCAAGGCTAAGGCCGCCAAGGCCCAGGCCCGCCCGCCCGTGGCCAAGCGCTGCACAGTCGCTGCCAGGAGGGCGCAGAGCCTGGGACCGGAGAAGGGTCGACTACTATAAAGGTTTTTTTATGCAATGACCTTTCTCCGCAGCGACAGGTCTCCCTCTTAAGAGGATTGCATTAAGGGCCCCCTCAGACTCCATCTCTCCAATCTTATTGTAAGGGTTTAGGGTTCTTGGGTATAACTATAATTACGATAGTTATAAGAAGGGTCTTGGGGTTGAGGGCTTACGTTTCTATATTATAGGGTGTATAGTATAGGGGCCTGAATAAATAAAACAGGGTTTGGGGGTGTAGTTCACTATGGTCACAATAAGGAAACCCCGAAAACAGTATAGGTAATTATTGAAGCCCCTACAGCAAGTGCTCTCGAAGGCAGGCTTCAGAAGCTGACTGATTCATGATCTGATCCCTCACAGCTGTCGAAGTGGTGGGCTGTGCGAATTCTGCCGCTGCTGCGCAGTGTTTATGTATGTATGCATGTACGTCTGCATAGATGCATGTATGCATGCATCTGTGCATGCATCTATGCATGTGTGTTTGCATGTTTGCATGTCTGCATGTTTTTATGTACGCACGTATGTGTGTATGTGTGTGTGTGTGTTTGTGTGTATGCATGTACAAATGTATGTTTGTACGTATGAATGTATGTACACTAACCGTGAAAGTTGATTGAATAAGTGATTATCTGTAAACAAACATGTACTTGCAAGGAAGAGCCTGAATAGGAAAAGTGCACAAACACACGCTGACAAGCCCAGCCACTGTGAGAACTCCTGGTTGAGGTGGGAGCGAATTGCCTGCAGATCAGACTATGCTCCCTCAACCCCTCAACCCCTCGACCCCTAAACCCCTGAACCCCTGAACCCCTAACCCTTCTTCGGCTCTTCCGTCATCGTTTGCTTCGTCTCCGGGCTGGGTTGCCTCTTGGCTTGACTAGCTGCTGAGGATTCGGATATTTTCTTATTACAACCATAGTATAATATACCCTAAAGCCCTATTCTCAGTATTAAGGCCTCGACAGTTTTTGGAAAGATGAAGGATGTTGCGAGGGATTCCGCCCTTCAGCCACGCAGGTTCTTTGGTTTCAGGAATATATCCCGAGCTTGGGCTGAAGACTTACTGTGGGGGTATATTACACTATAGTTATACTAAGGAACCCTCAAAACAGTATAGGTAATCATTGAGGCCCCTGTGTGAGGGTTCAAGCAGCCACCCATTCTGGCCTGGAAAGTCAGCCTCGCTGGCTGTTCGAACGGGTTCTTGCCAAGGGTCTTTGCCTTGACATGAGCCACGACCTTCACAGGACGAGCGTTGAGGTTTAGGGGTTTAGGGGCTTCGGGCTTAGGTGTTGGGGTTCGGTGTTTCGGATCCAGTGTAGGGTCTAGGGTTTCGGATTTAGTTTAGTTTAGGGTTTGAGGTGAAACGTAGAGAATGCAACTCCGTGATGACGGCTAGTGCCTTCTGCATGCCCCCGTATGACGTACAATGTACAATGTATAATGCATAAAGTATAATGCATAGTGTATCATGTCTAATGTGCATTGCATAACATAATATGATATGATATGTGATGTAGAACGCATAATATGTCAAATGTTGTATGAAGACTAGAAATATAGTGTAGAATGAGTCGGATAGTGTATGAGATATGAAGTACAATATATCATACAGAACGTGGAGCATGCAACATGCACTAAGGCTAAGACATAGTGCACAATGACTTATATGTTGCATAATAAATGTGATACCTAATCAGAAACATATGATTTATTGTATGTGATGTATAACATACGAAATAACAACCAATTACATATATAACATATATCACAAAGTATAAACAAACTCCGCACTGCATGATACTTAAAATGCAAACATGTCTGAAAATAGATGAGTACAAATTGCACTATACGATCGATCTATCTATGTCTATATCTGCATCAATATCGATATCTATATCTGAATCTGTATCTCTCTGATGTAACACAATAGAAATATCATCTAATCTGGTTTATATATATATATATATATATATATATATACATATATATGCATGTATGCATGCATGCATACATGCATGTACATATGTATGTGTATATATGTATACATAAACATATGCATACGCATAGACGTAGGCATAGGCATAGAAATACACACACCTATACATATCATTTGTTATATCTTGTCCACTATTCACTATGTGCTATACATTATGCATTCTATTATACTCGAAGCCTCTGCGAGCTCAGTTGTGCGTCGCAGCGGGCGCCGGGCGCATATAGCCTGAAGCTTGGGATTTGGGATTGTATATAGTATGGGTTATATGAATATACAGATCCCTAAAGTATATACTATAATTTTCCGCCAGCCCCTAAAGGGGCCGAAAACAAACTCAGGGTGTACCATAGCCACTCTGCCAAAACGGCGACCTCGATGCCTTGCAACATCAGCTTCCCTTGTGGGCTCTCTTGTGCAATAAGACTTAGGTGCCTTCATAGTTTTGGGGGCAAGTCGATGTGGGGACCAAGGGCTCGACCCTGCACATCTCCCCACTCCTAGCCTGCCTGAGTTCGTATTCAACATACACTATAGAATCTATTGTCTCAAATACAATAATATTTGCCACGTATAGCGCATGGCCTCAGCCAGGCGCGCTGCAAGGAGGGGATCACGGTCCTGCAGTTGGGTTCTATATGAATGTCTCGGCTCCAAGAGCTCTTTTAAGGGTCTAGGGCTTTGGGGACTTAGTAAGGTTTAGGTTTCCTTTTAAGGGTACTATATAGGGTTCTACAATGGGGTTCCCTTTAAGGGTTTAGGGTCCGACTCTCGGCAGGATGCAGGGACCAGCGGGAAGCCTCGCCATACTCGCGGAGCACCCAAGCGAGCTCTTCTGGCGACCTCAAGTCGAAGGGCACAGGGTCAAGGGTCACATTTCACTCAACATACATAGTATGTAACATCCAGCATAAGTATCATATGTATAATACATATATATATATATATACATGTAATGTTGGTCCCCTGGTCTGTGAGATATTCCTGTGCTAGAAGCTGGGTCCTCCGGCACAATGTCCAGCCACTGCGAGGCTGAGAGGCCAATTTCGGGGTTCCTGTCAGAGACCGCAGCCGCAAGTATTTCGCTTCTAGAGTCTAATATAGGGGCCTGAAAAATTCAAAAAAGGGTTTTGGGGTCCATTATCCTAGAATTACGTATAGTAAGGAACCCCCAAATCTAGAGTCTTAGGGTCAGGTAGAGTTCAGAGGCCTACAGGGATCAGGGCATGGGCATCGGCTTCGACACAGACGGTTAATGGAAGATGCTGTTCTAGGTCGTGAAGCCTCGAATACGCATCATTGGTCCGGAAATGCCTCACCATTGCAGGGTTGCCCACCGATGCATTGGCCCCACAGACATTGCCCGGAGCTCCAATACTACCTGAACCCCGAAGAGCAACTTAAAGGATCATGGGAGATCTCACGGCGGTATTAGAGGGGTCTTAGTAATTAGAACAAGGTTTTGGTGGTATATTATACGGTAATTATAATAAGGAACCCCATAACAGTGAAGGTAATTGTTAAGGCCCCTATACTAAGCTTGCCAGGCTCACATGCGCAAGTCCAGCGGGCCGTCCTGCGTGCACGTTGGCACATGGAAGCCACTCATTCTGATTTCTGTGGGCTTTAGGGTTCTCCAGGACCCCCAAGTACGATTTCTGGCTTAGGAAATACGGTATAGTATCGGGTGTTGGGCTCAAGCTGCGAATGCCAAGGTAGAAGAGTTTCGCAGCATTGGCAGAGGGCCTGCTAGCTGCTCTACTCGGCTCCCTTTGGGCGCTCCACCTCTTAGGTCGAAGGCAGTGGGGCTTAATATAGTGGCCTTGAATAGGGTTTTGGGGCCCGTGATACTATACTTACAGTTATTTAGGTTCCTATATTAGGGTTTGGGGATGTGTCTTCCAGGCCAAACCCCGGCCAGCAAGATTTCCACAGCGTCCTCAATGGGCGAGAAGCCACGGTGCTTCCGATCCTGTGCAGGAGAGAACTGCTTCCATAATCATGTATAGAAAATCCTGTAATATCATAAAGTATCTAATCATACACTATATTGTGATATGATATCATATAAACATACACATCATCAAGCATGACCCTTTTCCTTCGAGTAAGGGTCGAGGCAGCGACTTCGCAGGGTGACCATAATCCCAAAGCCCAAACCGAATCCCGTAACCCTCAGAATAAAACCCACAAACCCCAAATGAGAACCTGAAAGGAACCATCCTAAACACCTGAACCTTCGGAGAAATCCCATGAAAAGGAACTCTTTCTAACCCTAGGCGTCCAGCTGCATTGAGGAGACACCGAGATCAGCGAGGAGGCCCCTGAGAGCCAGTCCAGGGGGCAGTACCTGCAGGAGTCTGCATACTTGTAGTACATAACAAGAACAATGTGTTGATATATACATATATGTACATAAACTAGAATAATGTTACGAAAATGAGAGACTAACAATACTGAAAGAAAATGGCAGTAAGAAGAACAAATCACAACATACATAAAAGAAGAATACAAAATGATAACAGAAACACCAATAACAATGAGATCATAGTCATAAGGCATAACGGCATAATAGTGATGATAAGAAAATACTAGTCATCACAAGACAATGATAATAGTCCAAACCGTAACAACAGGTACCAACCAAAATCATCATTCTTATGCACACAATGATAATACTAATGATAATGAGTACACGAATACGAGTAATGCTGATAATAATCAGAAAGGAAAGAACCAGGTCTTAGGACTGCGAGGCTTTGTTGCTAAGCAGGCTTCTCTAAAGGATATAGGACCCTGAATAAATCAGAGCAGACATGCGGGGCATTTCAAGCTTTAGCCCGACAACTGTACTTGTAGGGGCCATAAGGGATAGCAACAGATAGTATTGCTGACTTAGGTTAGGCTTCTATATCCCCTGAGTTCTCAGGCCTGGAAAGCCAAGAGAGCAGGACAGGCAGCCACGCGGGGGCGACCAGGACGGGGAAACGCATGAGACTGCTCTAGGCCCTAGGCCCAAAGACAGGACATACAGACCGGAGATGTTCGACAATCGCCCGCAGCGGCTTCAGGCCGATGCATTGGCAGCTAGCACTTTTTGTGCTGTTGCAAAGGTCAAGCAAAGCCTCTGTAACGGCTGGTTTATTGTGTACTGAACAGATCCGCAGCCACTGGTGACGTGAGCTCGCCGAACTCGACAACGCTCGGTGGCTCACACGAGTTAGTGTGTGCCGATGCGGCAAGGCATCTGCATCCACGAGCTCTAGGTCGACCAACTTCTTGAGGGTGAGCTCTCAGCCGACACCAGAGTTCTCCATGAGGCTTGGGAGTGCCCAACCACAGAAGGACGGCATCTGTGCAGGTGGCTCCCCCCCGGAAAACGAAGTGGCAAATGCAGGAAACCCAGCGGAAGCCCACGACAGCTTTTGACGGGCAGCGGAAACGGCTTTGCATTATCGGCAGAGGCATCGCCATTTCATGAGTATGGCTTGCGGAGGGCCAACCCGGCTGTTGGAAGTCGAAGCCCATTCACATGTCACGAGTGCGCTCTCGAACGCTCAATCTCTTTCTTTCGCCACGGCTGGGGATAGGAGGGGAGACCCCCCTCCTTCTCTCTCTCTTTCTCTCTCTCTCTCTCTCTCTCTCTCTCTCTCTCTCTCTCTCTCTCTCTCTCTCCCTCTCTCTCTCTCTCTCTCTCTCTCTCTCTCTCTCTCTGTCTCAGTCGCCTTCTTTCCCAAGGCTTGAGGGCGTGCCCCCGCGGGAGCAGCCCGTCTGTTGCAGGGACGCACCGTATTACGCGTTGAGACTCTCTCTCTCTCTCTCTCTCTCTGTCTCAGTCTCTTGCTCGCAATCGAACGGAGGAGCACGCAGGTGCTCCCCACGCCCGAAGGTAAACCGGTCTCGAGGTCTGTGTGACACAGTCTCTCTCTCTCTCTCTCTCTCTCTCTCTCTCCCTCCCTCGATCGATCGAATGAGCGAGAACCTGCATTTTGAACACAAGTTCCAGAAAAGCTCCTCCCGACACGAACTTGGCGCCTGGTGCAGACTGCCAAAAGCTGCATGCCTCAACAGGAGATGTTTACCCCAAGCTCCAAAAAATTCAAACCTCTTTTTGGGTTGGGAAACCGCAAACTCTCAGGACAGCCCTACACTTATGAGAGTTTCAGAAAACAGGGAAGCCCTTACTCACCCCTACTTTTACCCTATTTTAGACACCCCCCCTAAACCAAAGCCGATAACTCTCTAGAAGCGTCATATAGAGTCATAGAGGCCTGAATAAATACTTAGAAAAGGGTTTGGTGGTATGTTCTACTATAAATGTATCAAGGAACACCCACGAAAAGAAATAGTCGTGTCAACCATTCTAGGTCCCGATAGAATCCTCCCAGGTTTCAACGCCTGGGCACCAGCCGCGGATCTGAGGAAGCTGTGCGTCGAGCCTTCGTTCGCGTGAATTGCAGGGGGGGGAAGCGGGAGGGGGCAGGGGGGGGTTGAAGGATTTAAGGCTTGTTGGGTTGAGTGGCTTTGTCTCAGCTACGTAAACTGCCCCCTGACCTTTTACTTCTGCAACCACAGATATCTAAGTGGTCGCCGCCTGCCCTAGCTAGAGAAGCTCGGCGATCTTGCTGAACGCGCAGCTGTTGATCAGCAAAGGTAATAATCCTGAACGACCGTGTTATACAGTCAGCTGATCTGTTTCTATTTCTTGTTGGCTCTTCTGGGCTAGCTTGACATTCTTGCTTGGGGACGCACTTCTTGATTCAAAACGCAGTCTACCATCCTCCCAGATTTCTCAAAGCGGCGGTGAATGATGCAGTTGACTATTGCAGGGTGCGGCGGGGTGCCAACTTCGGGGTACCTTCGCCCAACGGAATGTATAGTCGGCTCGAGCGAAAATTGGAAGTTCGATGAACACAGTGTGAGCGACAAGCCGAACGGCACTGACCGACATGGCCTCTGCCATCGCACTGGCATCCACATCAAAGGCAAACACCTCCATCAGGGGCACACCACTTTCTAAACATGTACCACACTCGCGACGGGCATGCAAGACACAAACTGTTAATGTGACTACAATCGTTGTTGTGACAGTTAATTATTGCTACTTTTCTTCCTAATGTCAGTAGTATTCGTAGTAGTAGTAGAAGTCGTAGTAGTAGTAGTAGTAGTAGTAGTAGTAGTAGTAGTAGTAGTAGTAGTAGTAGCAGTAGCAGTAGCAGTAGCAGTAGCAGTAGCAGTAGCAGTAGCAGTAGCAGTAGCAGTAGCAGTTGCGGTTGCGGTTGCGGTTGCGGTAGCAGTAGCAGTAGCAGTAGCAGTAGCAGCAGTCTGCCACCACCTCCGGCATGGTCTCTTTGTCCCCTAAACCCTAAACCAACAGAATCAAGACCCCGCCCCCGGGCCCCCACCCAGCTCCCATCGCCTTCGATGTGCTTGGGAGATGACGAAGCAAAGCCCTGCCGACGAAATCCCAGACATGTCTCTCCAAGTGAATAGTACTATCTGTATATCTATCTATATATCGATATCTACATACATATACATATATATGTATATGAAGATAGTGTCTAACCTCGTCCATAATATAATCTATAATCCAGTAATACGACAGTATCGAATGTATGTGAATAGGTCCATGGAGCTCCGGCTAGCTCAGGAAGCTTCGATTCGGACCCAAAAAGGGACCTTAATATTGACAACCACCTATATGTCTGTGTGTATATATATATACACACACATATTCTGTGACATTCTGTAATGTTCCACAACATTCGCAGCGCAACCCTATCATGCCCCATCGTAACGCACTCCGCTTCGTGCCGTTGTGGTGCACCAAACGGCGTATTCATCCTTCTCTGCATCAAACGGTATCATACATGTACACGGTGTTGCTTTACATCCAGGTGCATGAAATACCCATTCCGGATTCTTTCTTACAGGCTTAACACAGAGCTACTAAGTTAGAGCCTAACATTCTAATCATACATGCCGAACTGTAGGATTTCATGTTCTATTATGTCACGGCATGTTTTGCTGGCTCAAACCGTAGCTTGCCGTGAAACTTGTCGTACTATATAGCCTATGTCACTTTGGAGGAAACATACCTGTCATCTTCATGAATGCTGCTGCACTAACAACAACGAGGATGTTGCATTTAGGCGAAAAGTGCAACAAAAGCCGAGAATATAAAACGCGATGTTAGACCACCTTAGATTCTGCCGAGACGTATTATGCTACGTACACTAAAGCGGACCATGCTCCGTCAGAATTCTGTTTGCTACACTAACTCATTTGCTCTATAGTAAAGTATGCCGGATTGCAGTGCGCTACATCGCCGAAATTTAAGCCGCATCGAACTATCTTGTATCAAATTGCATCACCTTGTCAATGCACCCTTTGTAACCATGCTTCTGCAGACTATGCTTACGCTAAACTTAGCCATAACTTGGCATTTCGCTGCTTTCTAAACGGTTCTGCCATCAGATAAGCCATGTGAGGGTATGCCTGGCATTCGGGCTTCCTTTCAGTCATTTGCCTGCACAACAGACATTACAACAGCCAAGACAATTGGAAATTCAGAGTACCTACATCCTAAACCCTGCACCCTAAACCCTAAACACTGCACCGGGCCTGGAGTGGCCGCCACCCCCGAAAGTGGCGTCAACCACATGCTCTGCATCCGTCTTGGCGCTGAGCAGGGCCTTTTAGGGTTTAGGGTTCAGCACAAGATGACATGATACAGAAAGAGGTAACGGCACAAACTACCAAGCCAATAACGCCGTAACTGCGCCTGTAAAAGCAGTTTACAACCTCTACCCTCTGCACACCCATACATACACCGCACGCTGACAGGCATGCGTACGAACCATGGTACCGGAGAGTTCGGAAAACAAACGCAAAGACAAATAATAAGACCAATCACATTCAGGAAACAGCGGGGACGAAGACAACTAATGAACATTCTCGTTCAGCAACCAGGCAAGCCAACGAGAAACCCGCGGCTTGCAGCCTGATGCAGGGGGCGGGATACTTGACAATAACGAGAATAGCAGCAACAACAGCACTACTGGCAATGTTGCCTGGTAGCCCATATCTCATATATACCTATATCATACTTGACCTCAAAGCCTTATAACCTTATTCTAATCATCCAGTCTCGTATATTGCAGCCAACAAGTTCAATGCCTGATAGACTTTTCGCCACCACGTGTACAAGTCGGCCGTAGTCTGTCCGCGCATGTTTCCAAAATCGGCGGTGGTGATTTCTCAGTATCTTGATCTGTTTATCTTTGTAGACTCCTTGAGATGCCTGTAGACTTCTTGGGATTTGTTCGAGATTCCCGAAATTCATCTGGGAGCCCCCAAACTTCTCTAAATTGTGCGGAAAGTGTCTTTCAAATTCTCCACAACTGCCCCTACCGATGATGGCCTCGGAAGTGTGGGCTCGAGCTTACCGCTGACCGGTTTGGGCTAGCTAATTCGAAACTCCGCCGAGGCTCTTCCACCACCGCTGTACAAAGAACCGGCTCGTGCCCATAGAGCCTGCCATCTCTCGGATTTAGGCTACCTTATCTTGGGTCCTTATAGTAACATCCTACTATTTAGGGTATTATATTGAGGGTCCCCTATTTCGGAAACTCCCTTCAGGGTCTGGAGTTCAGGACAGTTAAGGGCGTATGGCCCAGGGTTCGGCGAGTTATCACATGAAAAACCCAAGCTTCCAGATGTGATGCTCTCTTGTATCCTCTGTATCATGGCTGGACTGGTCGCATGAGAGAGTTCAAGTTAGGGGTATCTGGTTTCGGGTCCTTATAATAAGGATCCTGCTATTTAGGGTGCTATATTAAGGAGTGTGTTCATCCCTTGATGCCGTTGCATGCTATGCTTGTGTCTTGTCCTCTTCGCTGTCGCATTGAATCATTGTATTCATGCTGTTGTCTGTTGCCGTGTTCTATTTTATGAAACTGTTTTCCACTGACGGACTCATGTTCATCGCACAATTTGTACTGCAGTGACATGCACACTTGTTTGTACTGAACTGTATGTATTGAGCTCACTATGCGCCGGACCTCATGTGTATCATGGTGTTGCTGCTTTGCGCCGTAATGGATTCAACCGCCTCATTGGTGGCATGTTGACCCGCACTGCGCTTCTTTCCACAGCGGTGTAGATGTCGTGTCGGAGTATAGCACGCTGTCCTGCACTTTGCCAACCTTCACCTTGCACCACGTATGTTGTATCGTGGTTTGAAACGGTCTCGTGCTGCATGTCATGTGCTTGTGTCCGGCATAGTCTGCAGCTACGTGCTTGTACATTGCGGCACAAGGGCATACCGCACGCAAGTCCCGAAAGAAATCCTAAACCCGAGATTACAAGGACCCTTACGACCATGGCGCCTTCCTGCCAAAGCTCTTTTGTCGATGGGCAGACTGCTCTTGGCCTGGCAGGCCTGCATTTTCATCCGAAGGAACTTGGGGGTGTTGGGTAGAGCTGTGGAGGGTTTAGAGTTTTAAGGATTAGGACTTTAGGTGAATTTAGGGTCGAAGGGCTTAGGCTATGACAGCCACGAATGAGCTTGCGGCCAACATCTTGGCACCTCCAGATCTCTAATGCAAGAAAGCAAGCGGATGCCTGCCTGGGCTATGCTGGGGCTGGCCACCTGCCAGCACACACAGCTTTCAGATTTAGGGCTTGTTGCAGATATTGAAGCTCCCAGGGATGAGAATTGACAGCATGGGAAGTGTGGCCAGTGTCGCGGGTGGCGTGAGGGGCATACAGTGTGGCTGAAATAACAGTCAAGTGTAATCAAGTGTAATCCATACCAAGTAAGATGCGTGGGAGTATTCAGGATAAACCTCTCAGCCCAGCTTGGCTAATGCGAGCACGACAAACAAGAAGCAGTGACAATATCACCCCTGCTACCGGTCACGAGACTAGAAGCCTCGAGGATTAAGCGGTCCAGGCAACCATGATACAGTGAGCACTTGGATAATACTGCTGATGCCCCATACAGCCACTTAACTTGGAATCTTCGCAAACTCCAAAACATGATACGAACAGTAGCAGCTAGTAGCATAATGTCAACGGCATCATCACGGGCAGTGACTCAGAACGAAGTCATGACAACGCACGGCGTGAACCATGCGAGCCATGCTTAGTGTTATACACTATCAGCACATGTCGCATTTTCGTCGCCTGTGATCACATCAGCCATGGCACTAATGTTCAACGTGTTCATCATCTTAGTCATGCTAACCATCTGAATCTTAGCAATATGCATGCAATTAAACTAGAGAGAATGCGCGAGCAGCTATGGAGCTCGTTCATGGACAAGTACAACATGAACAAGGCAAAAAGCACAAGCGCTCAGCCATCGCAGAGTAAGTGAATTTTGACGTGATCCACCACTGAGGCTGCTTTTTGCTCCTAGACCTAAACCCTAAACCCTGAAGTCCTAAACCCTCAACCTCCCTCAACCCTCAACCACACCCCTGAAACCCTATACCCTAAGACGTGCTAAACCCTAAACCCCAAACCCTAAAACCCTAAATCCTAAACCCCTCAACCCTAAAACCCGAAACCCCTCAACCCCTAAACCTGACCCCCTAAACCCCTAAACCATAAGCCCCTGCACCTGGAGGGCTGCCTCCCCTGGTGCACCACCTCGAGGTCCGGAGCTAACTGAAACTTGCGCTCTGCGACTTCCTAGGTGGCACCTAAAGCCTAAGGGTTTCGGGCCTTTAGGGTTTAGGGTTTAGGGTTTTTAAACCAACAGAAATTGTGTTGACATAAGAGGGCTGTTAAAACCCACGCCTCAATGCTAGAGCTGATTTGGGTTCTCATTACATTATTATTCATTATTCCGGCCGTTACACTACAGCCACTTCGTGGAGTCTTCCTCCGAAACTGCAGCTGCTTTTAGCGTTTAGGGTTTAGGGGGAAACTGTAGTCTCCATGCAGCGCGCAGCTGCATCCGAACTCAGATCCCTTAGGGTACATCTTGCCGTGGTGGCTGCTTACGTAACCAATCATCAACAGCATCATCATCACCGTCATCTTCATCATGAATTTCGCAGATTGCGAGTTCCACATTGCGGGTTCAGCGCTCGCAGATGTGCCCATGTGGGGCGTTGCCCAGTGCTTTCAAAACAATGCCACGGGGTTTATGGGCTTCCTTAAAGGTTCAGGGGTTTGGAGTTTAGGGGTCATAGTTCCTAAGCTCTTCGCCTACGGGACGCCTTCTTCCTTGAAGCCTGGTAGCTACAACCCCAACATCCTGGGTCCCCATAGCTCTACTCCCAATTCGGAATCGGACTCTTCGATCGTTTGCTGGTCTCAGGCCGAACGGATTAAGCTCGACCCTTAGGGTTCAAAAATGCTTTACGAGAGTTTCCGAGAATAGGGGACCCTATAGCACCCTAACACCCTAAATAGTAGGATCCTTATTATAAGGGCCCCAGGACACTCCCTCATGGTTGTAGGTTTTATCTGTTCCCCAACTTCACAACATCCCGGGTCGCTGGGGCCCAGAACGAAGAGCATCAGCCATCAGCTGGCGCGCAAAGGAGGTGTAGGGGTGTGGGGCTTAGGAGCTGCACAATTTGCGTCGAACGTCTGATGCCTTGGGGCTTAGGGTTCCGGGATGCACAGCCTTTTCGACGCATGGAGGAGCGGTGCTCGGAAATGGAAAGACCTTCCTTTCATGGCACCTTTTTTAGGGTTTAGGGATCTCCAAGACGTGATGGACCCTAAACCCTAAACCCTAAACCCTAAACCCTAAACCCTAAACCCTAAACCCTTGGGAGACCCTTTCTTGGGGTGAGATTGCAGGGCCTCGCGCCATGAAATGCCGGGCGTCCTTGGGGTCAAAGTCACGACCCAGGATCCCCGAACTCTGAACTCTCATTATAGGACGTAGGACTTAGGGCACGTATATAGACGACGGTAACATCAATAAAAATAATGGTAGTAATGATAATAATAGCAATAATGATAGAATCTGATAGAAATAAGCTTGGGGTTTGGGATTAGGTGTTTTTGACCATCGCCCCTGACACTCCCACAACACCCGCAACATTAGGCGCGCCTTGTAGCTAACATCATCAGGGAGGCAGTGGCTTCCCTCCATCTCGCTCCTTGGCTCTAGGCTTTGCAACGACATGCCTGGAGTCTGTCGGAATTTCTACTGGAACCCTGGACTGAAAGAGCCAGGAGTTTTGAGGCTTTGGGGCTTAGGGGGCTCAGGGCTCTCTGGGTTCAGGGCCTGGATCAGAGCCTTCCCGGCCGCTCATTGGCTGAGGGAAAAGAGCGGAAGAACTCCCCAGAGACTCCAAGATGCCTTAAGTGTCCCTAATATGATTTAAGGTATATTCCCGAATTCATTAGCCTTTTGGAGTCTCTGGGTCCTACAAGCTGAAGAACGGATCCGCGGACTGAAGGCTTTGTGATGTTTTTGAGCTCCTTGTAGGATGGTTTAGGCTTAAGGGTTTAGGGCGTTTAGGGTTTAGGCTAAAGGGTTGAAAGTGTATGGGTGCAGGGGTGTAGGTTTCAGAGAGATCCTTGAAGTGACCAGGCGGATCTTGTGGGTTTGGCACGTCCTCTCATGAACAGCGACTTGCAGCGTTTTGCCCTTGCGTTGAAATACTGGAGTTACAGAAAAGCGGTGCCCAATACAGGTCTGAGCTAGTGGCATCCGTATCCGGCCCCAGTACCCTAGACCCTGGAAAACCTAGAACCCCACCCCCCAACCCCCCCATCATCATCAGCATTGGCTGTAAGAGCCTGGCAGTAGAGCCTGAGCCTCCTGCCACCTGGACAGCTAGGGTTTAGAGGTGTTGGAGGTTTTAGTACTTTTAGGGTGTAGGATCTGATCACAGTAGAGACCCAACTTTCTTCCTTTGCCCAACCTCGCGCTCCGTGATAAGGCTCCGAGCGCGCAGTTAAAGGTGATGACCTGCAGAAGAGATCGTCCAAAAAAAAGGCTGAAGGGACATTCGTCAAAACTTACACGGGGGCGCATCATCCCTCCACACCACGATCAGCGAAAGTCGAGGGCTGCTCGAAAGTCACCCTTGCTGGTGCTCATGGAAATCAGGGCTGCGACATCAAGCATGACGTCACTAACTAAGCTCATGTGGCAGTGGAGCTTGAGAAGTTTGCTCTTCTTCGTCTTAGCCGCCATCCCAAGAACCCTAAGCCCGCTCATTCGCAATTCTCAGGGCCAGACATCGACGTCAATTCCACTCCTCGGCATACACAGCACAAGCTCGGCATGGTACGACTAACTTCGTCGACCCAAATAGTGTTTAAGGGTTTGCAGTGCAAGGACAGCCTCGTGTAGACCCCGTAGATAAGTCCTCTCATCTGACCCATGCCGGAAAGGACCAGCCCAACTTCACACCACATGCAAAGCGAAGCATGAGCCGCAGCCACATCCCTCAGCATGGTGACCTTGCTAAGAAACACAAAGTCAGCTAAGCCCGCGGCGCTTGCGCTTCGTGAAGGAGCCGAAGACTGAGATCCCAACCTCATGATTCATGAACTCACTGCAACCACTCCTTTCGGTGAGGAGACACAGGACGCGGCGTGGGCGTCGTAGAAAAGGCACGACCAACAAAAATCCTATACCCTATACACCCTAGAAATCTAAACATGGGTTTCTTCTACCTTCCTGGCGGGTCTTGAGGGTCTCCTAGTGTAAAGTGTCCGAGTGCGGAGCGTTGGACGGTGCCGCACGCCTTAGCAATCCGTCAATATCGTGGCCGACGAGGTTTGAGGCTTCGGGCTCAGAGGTTGGGTGTTCAGGATGATTCAAGGGTTCAGTTTGGCAGGTGGTACTACCACTCCGGCTTGGCGAAGATCGGCAGCATTCCAAGCCAAGAAGCTTTGATCACTGAGCTGATGGTGATCACGTGCGGCTCAATCCTGGCGCAACGGTGGGGTGCGCTAGGACCGCCAGGATAAAAAAGGATTGTACGAAAGCCCTAGCAAAAAAAAGTGCCTACCTGAGACAACAAACATGTGCTGCCACACCGGAAGGACTGGAATCCGGCGCGCCCGTGCATTCGGCTGTCGTCCAACGTCTGAAGAGCACCGGTCCAGTGAGAGCCTCTTGGGCTTTAAGGGTTTAGCATTTAAGGGGGTAGGGTTGAGGGTTTAGAGTGTAGTTTTGCTCAAAGATGGCGGACTCTTTTGCTGAGAACCATGCTGGAAACAGTGCTATGAACATGATCCCCCGTGCTTTCTTGATCATAGCTTCGGACTCACATAGCCGTAGCCGAGGTCTCAACACAGTAAACAGTTGCTGTGGTCGCTGGAGAAGCTCGCACATGGAAAAACTGGAAGCATTGTGCCACGTTAGTGCAGAGGTACATCGATTGCAACGGGCGTAACAGTGGCTCCGGAAGACAAGCAGGAATAGTAGGACACAGCCAGGCAAGCGAGCAGAATTGTCGTGACTACAGTGGAAAAGGAAGTGAAGCTAACTACGCGGGGTATTCTATCTTAGCTCAGGGTGTTATGCGGCTTAGTGTGGGGGTTGCTAGCTTCGATTCGAATGGTCTCCTATCACAGGCAATTGCGCGAAAGTAAGGCCCCGTGATGCATCAAGAGACTGCTAGTATAGCACATGTCGCCGTGTAGCATCCATAGGTGCTTTTGGTATGTGCTCTTACGCTGCATCCCTCCAGAAAAATCGGAGACACCTTTTGCTTATCGCCTCGCTCACAGGCGGCTGCCTGGGCCCCCCAGGTCGACGGGCCTGAGAAAGGGTAGGATTTAGGGTGTAGGGTTCAGGGTTTAGGGGTCACTGTTTAGGGTTTGGGGTAGGATCTAGGGTTTATTGATTCCTTTTATCGTCTCTTTTCCTCCGCATGTGTTTACCGTCAGAAAGCCACATGTGGCTGAGGGCAGGTAATGGGGAACAGGGATATCACAAGCACAAAATCCACATCCACACCAAGACCCTGTCCGACATTGCAGGCTATGCTGAACAGAGAGGGAGACAGAGGGAGGGAGGGAGAGAGAGAGAGAGAGAGAGAGAGCGAGCGAGCGAGCACTCACCATGTCTTGCATACCACATGCCTCTCCAGTCCTGTAAGGGTTTAAAGTTCAAGGCCTTAGGGTTGAGGGCATGCCAGTAGGTGTGCATCACTTGGGCACAGGCTGGGCTCAATTCCCCGGCGCAGCATTTCCTGGACGAGGTCCAAGCTCACCTGAGCCAAGAACCTAACAAATCTCGAACAACTATCAGCATTACTACTACTACTGTAACCCTTACTATTCTCGTCACTTTTAGTGCTATTGTTACAGTATTGATAGTATTGGAATCTGCAAAAAAGAAAGAACAGTAGAAGTAAGAATAATTAGCAATAATAGGCACAATAGTGATAAGCACATGTTGATTCCACACGTCCTAGACCCTATTCCCCAAACCCTGACCATTGGCCATGGCTGGCCTGCCACTGTCGTCCCCGTGCACAAGCCGTTGCTGTCGCATTGAAGGTGATGATGTTCGCATTGCTTCCTGGGGAAAGGTTGGATACTATCATACTAAAACTACTATAACACTAGAGCTCCATAAATCTCGATAATCCCTATAATATTTTGAGAACCAGTGTTGTAAAGCTCTAGAATTGGAAGAGTCTTCAGCTCCCCGGTGCAGGTCTGTGTGGAAAGCTCTGTCTCGCTGTGAGATCCTGTAACTTAGGGACCTTGATAATTAGACATTAGACTCTACTTACAATAAGGAACCCTAGGAATGTTATTGTTAATTGTTTATGCTTCTACATTAAACCACCGGCTGGGCCTCTAGCCACTCTCCGCAAGCAACTGCACTGCCTGGGGCCACGCTGCAGCCTCGGCGCGTATCTCAGTGCATCTCAGAAATAGATGGGTGAATGACTGCATTATTAGTGGCGGAGAGAACGAGCTACAATCTCAGGCATGTGAAACGGCCTGCACCGTCTGGGCAAAGGTGTCTTTTGTCCCAAGGGTCGCAGTATCCATATGTCAGCCCAGGCCAAGCAAGTCGACCTCTGAAAGTGGCGATCAGGGAAGGCATCCGGAGAAGGGACTTGCAACCTCTAAGTGACGTTTTCGATCATCAACCAAATGTTCTTCATGTTCGAAACCCAAGTCCGAACATGCCCATTGATCCGCGAATCGTCACACCATCGAGTCAGCAACACGCCGCAAACTGTGCCTATCCTGCTCTCGAACACCCTAAACCTCAAGACCCCCTAAAGCCCTAACCCAGTCTCCATCTCATCTTCGTAGCAAAAACCACTTAACCAAGTAATACTAGTAATGACAATAAACCGAATAACAAATACGAATAACAAGAACCATAATAAATCGCAGGTCTTCCTTCAGCTCCCGGCCGAGGGTGCCGGCGCTGGCGCCTCGGCCATCGGCTTCGCCGCGGCGGGCGCTGCAGCGAGGTCCTCAACAGTTGATCCGTAGTAGTAGTAGTAGTAGTAGTAGTAGTAGTAGTAGCAGCAGTAGTAGTAGTAGTAGGTAGAACATAACAAGAACAATAACAATAACAGTTGCAATAATGATAGTAATCGTAACTGTAATGATATGAGAAACAAACACTCCGGCCTGGGTCGCTTTGGCTAAGACTTCTGGGAGAGGAGGCACTGAGACCGACAGCAATGGAGACCGACACATCTCAGCGTCTGAGGTGTTGTGCCGATCGGAACTCCCGGCGGTGCATGTCTTTGTCCTCTGCCGTGGTGTCCACCGCCGTCTTGGCAAATGTGGTTTTGGGTTTAGGGTTTAGGGGTTTAAGTTTAGGGTTAGGGTCGTATTATCTGCATTCCGCCCGGTTTTCGGGTAACTGCATCGGTCACACTGCTGTGCCTGCTCACAGACGACCCAACCTGGATATTGAACGTGACACCGGCATCTGGATGGCCAGCACATCATGAACGCATGACAAACTTCGAGCCAAGACCCACCCACAGCCTTTTTGTTAAGCGGCAGCAGGAGTAGCAGCAGTGGCAGCAGTAATAGCCGTAGTAGCAAACAGGAGCAGTAGGAGTAACAGTGGCAGTAGCAGTAGCAGGAGAAGTAGCAGCAGCAGCAGCAGCAGCAGCAGCAGCGGAAGCAGCGGAAGCAGAAGCAGAAGCAGAAGCAAAAGTAGAAATAGAAGTAGAACTAGAAACCGAAGCAGAAGTAGAAGTTGATTTAGAAGTAGAAGTTGTAGGAGCTGCAGTGATGTAGTGGTGTGAAGCGATGCTATGACCGACAGAAGTCCTTGCACAGCAGTTGAAGCGGTAGAAGAAGTAGTAGTAGTCGTCGTTGTCGTTGTCGTCGTCGCGGCCGTGGTAGTCGTAGTGGTACAGTAGTGGCAGTGGTAGTGGCAGTGGTAGTGGCAGTGGTAGTAGTAGCGGTAGGGGTAGGGGTAGTGGTCGTAGTAGTCGTCGTCTTCGTAGTAGTAGCAGTACCAGTAGGAGGTTCGATGGCCAATTCTCACTGCTGTTGTTTCCACATCGTAAGAACAAACTTCCCCCCCCCCCCCAGTTCCTTGCACGAAACCGTGGCCAAACTTTTTGGGCTAGGATCCTAAATCCTAAGCTTCAAGCGATTCCTCTCAATACTATGCACACCGTGCAACCTACACCTTAACCCAGCCTTTTAAGTATTAGACACAAGTCCACATGTCTGCGCGACCCGCTACAGGTAGTTCCATTCCTGGTTCTTGCTATCGTAGAAAATCACCCACTGCGGGAACGGTCCAGCAAGTCGTAAGATCCGTAGCCGTCCCAGCTGAAATCCGCGTTCGTCACCGACTGGCTCGGGCCCTCCAGCGCTTCGAAGGATGATTTACGGGTTTATGGCGCAGGGTTTAGTAAGGTGCAGGTTTAGGGGAGAGGCATTTGGAATTTGAGTTTGCTAATCTACCATCACAGAATTGGATTTCAGATGGCACGTGCTGAACAGCATTAGTACTAAGTTGCACCGGTTTCCTGCGATCAGGGTGAGGTTTCAGACCCTTCTGGGGTTCAAACATTTTTGAAGGGTGTTGACTGACGTCCACCTGGGAGTTTCCGAAAATTAGGGGTACCTTGTTTTGGAGTCCTTATAAACATCCTACTATGTAGGGTACCATATTAGGGTCCCCTATTTTCAGAAACTTCCACCTGTACAGGCGCACACAGGGTTCCGGATTTACAACATTCCCGGCCTCTTTGTCTGGTGGATGCAGTGAGCTCCAGGCTGACATACGAAAAAAAGTCCTCGCGTCTCACAGCAACAGCTTTGGGTATTTATTCCTCTGAAAGGTCTCGGAACCTAACACTGCGGCCGAGGCAGCTCCTCTTCATTGACTGCAGGTGCCGCTTTTCTGCACCTGGCTAAAGGAGGCCGCCGCCGCGTCTGTCTACTAGTGCCAATGCGGCCAGATTCCACTCGCTGCATGCCAAACCTGAACCCTCAAACTCTAGCCCTGCACCCCTAACACCCAAACCACCAAACCCCCTTAACCCCTTCAAACCCGAAAGCCATACATCCCATCCTAAACGCCTAAACCCTGCACCCTTGCCTAAACCCCTCAACCCCGAACCCCTACACCCCAAAACCCTACACCGTATTCCTTAAACCCTATAAAGGAGTCCTATAAAATCCTATAGACCCCTTTCCAGGAATCCTATAAAATCCTCTAGCTCCCTTGAAAGGAATCCTACAACATCCTCTAGATCCCTGTAAAGGAATCCTACAAACCCTTACAGATCCCTTTAAAGGAATGCTACGAAACCCTTCCTTATAGATCCCTTTGAAGGATCCCCATACCAACATCTTCCGGGCCTGCTGGGCGCAGCGCATAGACGCTGAAATACACAGGAGGCCGGCCACAGAGCCTCCCCAAAGATACTATGATATACAGTAATATACTATAATAAACTATAATGTACTATAACCTACTATAATAAACTATAATAAACTTTAATGTACTATGATATACTACAATATACGATAAGAGACTATGATGTATTGGCATATGATGTGATAGACTATGATATACTAGAAAAAACTCTAATATACTAAAATATACTGTAATATGCTAGAATGTGTTAGATATACCATAATGTACTATAATATACAAAAATGTACTAGAGAGTATTATAGTAAACTATAGTATACCATAATGTACTATGCTATACTATGCTATGCTATGCTGTACTATACTATACTATCACATACTATACTATACGAAACATTCCGTCTGGTGGGAAGTCGCATTGTTAGTAGCAGAACCATCAACAGCGACAGTAGCCGTAATGATAGCAATTGTCAAAGCAACAGCCTTAGAAATAGTAATGCTGATATTACTGCTAATGCACATGCGAATAACTATTACCACCTTTTTCGTAATGTGGACTGCAAGAAGTGTACACATGCTAGTGGCGCCGCGGAAAGGGACACCCGAAGAGGCTCCATACTGTCGGCCGGATCATGCTACAAAGTCCCGAGCCCGACATGGCACTTCGTGCTCCAGATGAATGTGTGATGGCTCCGCCCCGTCCACACACTGCTGTTGGTGCACCAGGTGCAATGCAAGCTTCCCAATGTTTTCTAACACATGCTTTGGCGATGCCCTTGCAACGGTCACTGTTCGGCATTGCTTGCTTGTCGGCTTCGGTCGGAAGGCATCGCTGCACCGCCCGAGAAGCTTCTCAGTAGTGAACTCGATATTGATATACTCTGTTTTAGGTTTGTATATACAACGACGAATGTGATTAAAAATATACACATACATCTCTGTGTATAACATCTCTCTCTATATCTATATATATATATATATGTATATACATATACATATAGCATACTTCTCTACATATATGACATCTATACACTAATACATGCACATACATACATACATACATACATGCATACATACAATCGTACATACATACATACACCTATATATCCATACATGCATGCATACATACATACGTACGTACATACGCGCATACGTACATACGTACGGGCGTACATACATATGTATATACACACATATAGACATACATATTTATATATATATATATATACTTGAGAGCTGGTCACGAAAGCTAGAAGCACGAGGTCCGGTGCTGAGCTCTGCAAAGCGATGTGCACGACAGTAGCGGAGGGAAAGTTTGGGCCGGTGAAGGGTGCAGGCGTTGCTCGTTCATTTAACTCTTGAGAAAGTAATGTGCGAACGACAACTAGAGGTAACTCTGGAGAGAAGACCGCACTTCAGTCGCCGAACGTCAGACACAAACAAAACCAAGGGACCTTGAGGAGGGGGGGGGGAGGGGGGGCCCCCCCCCTCCACCTTATCCCAGGCACAACCACCTTAAAGGAGGGGGGGGGGAGGGGGGGGGTGAGCCGATACACCCACAAGGAAATGCTCCTTGTTAGGAGGTGTATGACCAGTTTATTCCCTAAGGATCAAAGGGCAGCGCCCTGCACACGGACAGTAGTTGTTTTGTCTTGCTACGCAAGGAGAGCTTGTCTTGTCTCAATATGGTAAAAACCACTGTGAGCCAATGGGCAGCGGAATGTATATGTATGAGCATGCAGCCATTGCTGTAGGTACCTGTTAGAGCTACCCCTTTAGAGGTTTACGCCAACAAACAGACACTAATTTTCTTTTACCGGAAGCATGGCCGCACATTCACACATATACTATTATGCCCACTGTCACAGTTGCGGAGTTTGGACTCATGATAAAAACAGCATATTGGTTATGCTAGGTATAGCACTGAAGTACACTGTTGAAGTCACTCTTGAAATCACTCCTTTTGAACTCTTTCATGCACATTGGTCAGAGAGATCGTCTGTACAGGATCAGGTCTGTTAATGTTCTTCTATCGAATTATGCAGCCCTTCACTGTGCTCTTGTTAGAGCCTTGTGAGTCACTGTTGTGAAACTCTGAGATTTTCCTTATCTCAGATTTGGATCCATGTTTGGATCATAGGCTCGAGCATAGACGTTCGGATGTGGTTCATCCGGGTCTGAGTGATCTTCTTCGGAACTTGAAAAGATTCCGAGTAATCTGTTCTCAGCCCTGGTGAAGGCGGCGTCTGCAGTGTCATATCCATGGTTGGATGTAGTCGCCTTTGGCTCGGCCTTTGGTGCAGCTTGTGAGCTGATTGGAGTTGCCTCGGCTTTAGCCGGTTGTGGCTGCTTAGCCTTTGCCCGTTCGGCCCTTCTTCTTTCAAGCTGTCCGTCTGAGGACGCCCATGATCTTTCACTTTCATCTCCTGAGGGAGATAAGGCGTGGGCATGAAGGCTGTTCCAGTACTGTGCTGCAGAAGGAGTTAGGACTTCTTCATGGTCAGATTCTGACTGGTCTTCCTCAGAGCTTTGGTCGTCAAAAAGTGTCTCAAGGACATTTTTGAGGTTTTTATGTCTTCGCTCTATCTCTAGTGAGGAATGGACCAATTGATTGAAGACTGTTTTTGAGTCCTTCAGTGCTGTTAGAAGGATTTCCACTCTGGATAGAGTATCTTGGATGGTGTCAAGATGATCCTTTCTTTCCTCCTTGTCTCTCTGGATAGAGTTTCGCAATGATTGTGCGATTCTGAGGAGGTCGAGATATTTCTCAATAGGCATAGTTACCGTATGATTGTCATGTATGACAGTTGTTTCGTCGCTGCTCAAGTTCCTGAATAGGACTTCCACGACTGGTAGAAACTCCGTGCTCCACGGTTCCTCTTCATCATATGTTTCTACGTGCTGTTGCACGCGTTGTGTAAACTGCTCGGCTGCTTCTACCGTTGCATCGATAGAGCTGACGTGTCTTACTGCCATGTTTCGGCACATAGTGTTAATGGCCTGGCCTTGATTGGCTTCGCCAAGTGCAGCGTCTGCATGGTTGCAGAGTCCACTGTTATGGGCTTCTCTAGCTGCTTTTCGTTGAATGCGCCGATTTTGACCTCCTCTTCTGGTAGGACCTTTTGGTCTCGGAGGATCTGAAGGTACTGTTCCTTTCGCCTTTGGCGGAGGAGTCTTAGGTGGAGGTGACATGTTTGCCTTGTTAGGCACTGGTGGCATTGCCTTGGGCACTGACGACGATGAGGCACTTGCGAGTGCAGATGTACCTCTGGCTCTTGCCGAGGATCCCTTAGGGATTGATGTATAGGTAATCTGCATGGCTTCTTCGGCCATTTGTGAATGCAATGCATCACTGAATAATTGCCTCATATGAGGAGTAGTACTTGCATCGTCATAGGTTTGAAACCGTTCAATGTCCCTTTCGGTGCCACGTGATCGTGTATCACCTCTTTGAAAAGGATCGTTCCTGCGAATCTCCGCAACTTGTACTGCCTGGAGGCAGGTTTTACACAGCACCTTCCTTGAAACATCTTTTGCTTGCTTGAGCTGGTAACAGCTGTCTGAAAGATGGTAGACTTCGCTTCGGGAAGTGTGCCACACAGGTCTCAAATCCGTTGTTTCTCCAGAATTGACCCTGTTGGGTCCTAAAGGTTCACGCGTCTGTGGTTCATTCTCGGGTTCGAGAAATGGTGGTGGTCGTTTCGCTGCTGCTTTTGCATTTGATTGTTGGCGGTCCATACATCTGATGGGAGCCCTAGTGAGCTGCTTCCACATCCAGTGTAGGCCCATTAGCAGCAGAAACACATTCCACGCGATGCTGAAGACGGAGAAGTCTTGCTCACTGGTTAGTGAGTTTGGAAGTGAAGGTTCATCAGTCTTGATAGACTCTCCCCTTGCACCGCCTTGATTAGGGTGTCCGAACCAGTTCGACAACCCTGCTGCTGTGGCAGCTGTTCGGAGTGCCTTGCTGCTCGGAGCAGACGGCGGTCGCGCTGACTTCCTTCTTCTTCTGCGACTGGAAGATTCTTCCTCCTGTTCGTCTTCATCTCTTTGAGCCGACATCAGGTTTGATGTTTCTCGTTCGTGCTCTTCAATAACACTCTCCATCTCACGGATCAAATGTTCTTCCTCTTGTTGTTCCTCAAGTGTGTCCAGTTCCTCTAAAGACATGTTGAGCTTTTCAACAAGACTGGCTCTCTGAGGTCTGGATCTCGATCTTGGTAGATCTTGTTGTGAAGAGGACGATGATGCCTGGCTCCTTCTTGGAGGAGAGCCTTCAGGCTCGCTGGGACGTTCAGGCTGTGGCCTTTCCCAGAATCTTCCATATCTGTAATAGCTACCTTGTGGTTGCTGTCTGTCGTACCAGCTGTTGCCAGATGAATACATAAATGAGTCTTTGTAATCCCAGTATTCAGCATTACGCTGCTTGTAAGCCTGTCGCTTGTCAGCGATCTTCTGAACCTGGGCATCTGACCGGTTGTGTTTTCCTTTTGTAAGGATTGGTTGTATCGTGAAGCCCAAAGGGCTGTGCCAATCTTTGTCAGAGGGACTCAACCACAGGTCAAGGTTAGAAAAAGTTGAATAGTACTGCTTGACTGAGACAAACAGACGGATATCGATATCCCTGTTTCTGTTCATGTTCTGCCACATATCTGAGACTCGTTCCCAGTATGTTCTTTCGGCGGCAGGTGTAGCATCTCTTGGACTAGGTGACGCCGTGTGCGGCGTTTTACTCCAGTCAAGGAGATAACTGTTGATACAGTCGAGGTCAGCAACTTTCTTCGCCGGGTCCGGCGGTAGACGATCTGCACGTGCCAGTCTGTGCTGGTCAGAGTTGTTCAAGCAGAGGTGTCGCACTTGTGAGTGCCTTCCTGCTATTGTGTTGAATGCTGCAAGTTTCTTCTCCAGGTATAGAGAAAACAAACCGTTTCGCGGGTGAACGTCTCCACCTTTTAAGGTGAGCCTCGACGCAATATTATTGAGATCCCCCGCAATTACATCCGGTTTAAAAGGGAGAACCTCGTTGAGGAAC